AAATGTTTATACATCAGTGCTGGAAGAAGAATTCACAATCTTTACTCACCAGTGGAGTTATGAAGTGGGGGGGCTTCAGCTTTGGATGATGTAAAACTACTGAATATTTTCACATCAACTTCCTTTCAATCTCAGCCTACAGTTTTTGAACAATAAAATATGGTGCAAAATCAATATATGTATAAAGCCATCCATCCTCTGGATGCCCTTGGTCTGTATTTTGTTGTTGTACAGTTTCATGAAGCTGTATTATCCTACAGGTCCCAATAGCTAATTTTATTCAAAGAGTGGTTCACTACAATGAAATTGTTACTATGGGGATGAACGTCATCACACATGAATACAGTTGGGTCCATTGAAATCAAGACTCTCAGCTTTCCAGTCATTATCAGTCTATATAATTCCAACCCCAGAACTCAGTGGGCAGAAATATTCATTTACACTAGGAGAAAAAGAACTCATATAAACTGCTTGTAAAAAACTGTATGGGATTAGTGAAAAGTGGGCATGTTTGTGAAACTCATCGGTACCCATAGAACCATTAGAGATCAGAGATCTTGAGGTCCAGTGCCTGAAATGGGCCAGTAGCGGCACTTATGATTTTTGTCCACGTGTCTGGACTAAAATAACTACCTGATGCTTTCATGCCCCAGAACTGCCCTGTTAAATTCAGTTTTTGGACCTCAGTATTTCTAAAACCCTGAGTACTGCGCTGCTGTTGAGGTACTCAGAAACGTCTGTAACTGCATCTCCACAGCTGGCTGAACGTTAACAAAACAGCACTGAAAATGTCCTTGGGTGGGGTTAGGGTTAGGGTTGTGCTGAATTAGGGTTACTGGCACCTTTTTTGAACCTTTGAACACATCCATACCAGTTTTACCATCACCAAGATTTTGCTTAAATTTTGAGCTTTATTTTGCCAGATACACTAACATGACATGGTTAGTATCTATGGATGCGTTAGGTCATTTAGTATCTTCACTCTTGTCTTAGTACTGAGCTATAGCCTCTAAATGATGTAATGTAAAGTCAGCCGCAGACATATTCGTCAGTGTGGAGTTGAAGAGGTTATCATAACCAAAGACTTGGCAATGCTATTAGTGTTACCTACTAATACTACGAAGTGAAAATATTTTATAAAATACCTTTAAAATTGTTTATTTAGCCAACTTCTTTGGCTAAATAAACAAGGGTTTATCACAAAATTCACCAAATTTGTACATACTGTAGTTTTCAATGAACAGCAAAGGTATGGATAATTGTAATCCAAAAAGGAACTAAAGCTGTCAGACAAATGTAGTGGAGTAAAAAGTACAATATTTTAAATAATCTTCCTTTAAAGTTCCCTTTGAACTAGAAGAAAACATGTAACCCTGTAACTAGAAACAATTATATGTTTCCTCTCAGGAAAGTTCCTAGGAAATGATTTAGAAACTACAGACCTGTGAAACAAACCGTTGAGGAATATGTAATAGACCTGGTCAGTGCCAAGTAAGCTGTAATTCTCTTCATGAGACATATGGTGGGTGGAATAATCTGACAGCAACCGCCGGAGCTTCAGTTAAAACCCCGAACTGAAACCAAAGTAGATGAAGCTTAATGAGAAATTAAGACAAAACCATTTCAGCACCACAAAACAGTTCTTCCATTAGTCTTTCACCTCTTAGATATAGATGAACGGGGATTTGCCGAAGTCAAATAGCTAGTTTTAAGGTGCAGTTGTTTTAGTTGTAAAAGTTTTACTTATAGTAGTTATATAGTATAGTTATACTCCCTGTTATAACAATAAATCAGGAAATAAAAGGTTGATGGTAGCCAGCATGACAGCTTTCTCAAGTTAAATCATGTCAGGATATTCACAATTATCCAGATTATCCTGAAAATTAAAATTTACCTTGATCAACTTTATTTGAGTTTTCGATGCATGATGACATTTTATCCTTAGTCTGAATATATAAGTGGAGGTTTCTGCAAAGAAATTCATCTGGATGAAGATATTCAGAGATAATAAAGAAAGAATCAGTGTGTATCATGAAAATGTAACATTTCCTTTAGAGACATTTATGTAGCTCTGGAGTGGCTACCCTGTCATAAAAACAGCTTTATGGACTAACAAAGTCTTGTGTCTACACAGTGTATAAAACAGGAGCTCCAGTTGAATGAAAGTAAATAAATTAAAAACATGAACTTGAACCTTCAGTGTTGAGACCTCAATATTCTGTAGGTTACTCTCTATTTATCCAGAGTTTTAAGCCTGTCTTGTTCTATTCTGTAATTTATTGAATGGTTCTGGTTGTCTGTTTGGGCTTTATGTTGTAATGCACTTTGAAACTTGTCTTTAACCTTGGTGGCGATCTCCAGATCATGATGTAGGACAGAAACGAAACAAGAAACAACTTGAAAACGTTTAATCTCTCATCTGTCACACTTACAGAATCTACAGCAAGTCTAAAGCTATGTTTGGTGGCAGTGGCGTGCACAGACCTTTTGAAGAGCAGGGGCGGAAAGAAAAAAAAGGGCACATAAAGCGTGTCTTCACCACTGTAGAGGGCACTTTAGACAAGTTTTATATGTTATACAAATGGCAAATTATATCGCCTTAAAACAGATTAACTAGCCAGACTACTCAGGTTAGTTTGCTGTTAGGATCAGCATCCACAAGAACTGTGTGCATTTCAGCGTTGGACCGTGAAGAACACACAGCAACATGGATGTATGAAGGACATAAATCCCTAGGGGGTGTGGGGGAATGTTTTCAATTTGTTTTCAATTAAGTAGATGCCATTTCCTGTATTCTAGTGCATTTTAACACCATATTAGCACCTCTTTTAGGCAGCATCTCTACCTAATAATAGAACTTAGAAGAGGGCAGTTGAGGGTTTTTTCCACCCAAGAGGGCAATTTAGTGTATTTTGGCTCCCAAGAGGACACTTGAGAGCACTTTAGCACGCGTTTTGGCTCCCAATTGGACACTTTAGCACGCGTTTTGGCTCCCAATGGGGCACTTTAGCACACGTTTTTCAACAATTGGACCCCCCCGTCATTCATTAATTATGAACAACATTTTACACAGATGTTAGAACTTTTTAGCAGATAGAACTGATACAGCCACCCAGTCCATACAACCACTCCACACTCGCCACCAAGCAGCTGAGGTTCAGTGCCTTGCTCAGGAGTAACCTGGTCATTAATGTGAGAGTTAGTCATTAATCTTCTGTCTGTGTGGGGTTTTTAAACTGCCAGCCTTTCGTCCAAAAGTCTGCTACTCTGATCTTTGGCTCAGTGTCAGTCGGAAGTGAAATAAATCAGGGAAGGCTTCTTTATTTCTGCTGCAGTCTCTCCTTCCACACCTTCTGGAAGGTCTTTAACCTCGTCCCAGAAGCTAATCAGCAGTGTTGTGAGTGATTTAGAACAGGCCCGCTCCACTCTGCCGTCTGGCTGGCGGTGATAGCGCCCGGGAGAGCTGTTAGAGCTGCCGGCGTGGAACCAACCATGTCCAACAGCACCGCAGAGGACTGACATCTACCACCACCGCTGCTGCTGCTGCTGATCCACCACATGAGGAGAAAACAGCCTGATGGAGAGACGTCAAACCAAAAGCGGCTGGATGAAAGGTGGCGTGCCAAATGAGTCCACTAGTCCGTCTTGGTGGACTGCCAGCAGTACCCAAAATGGAGCTGTGAGCCAATCTGAGCTGTGTAAATATTAATCTAGTCAACGTGGAGAGTTTAATGAGTCATGTTGGGTCCTGTTTAAACAACCAGAGCAGGAATCGCTCCACATGATGATACAGTGCTGAAGAAATCCTGAGACACAAAACATTAAAACCCCTTTCTGTAAACCTCCACCCAACCAAAATGTGACCCTGAAAGGTTCCCAGACTGACTTTCAAAAGTCACAACAACAAGATAAGATAAGATCGACTTTATTGATCCCACTCTGGGGAAATAAGCTCAAGATTCAACACAACAGATAAGAAAGTACACATTAAATAAAAAAGAAAAATACAAGATATAAAAGAAATAGAAAAAAGGAGTTAAACGTACACTATATACTTATATTTTTATACACAGATGGGTTTGATGGAACATTGTATAGAGACATTATTGATCATATTGGAAACATTATTTTTATATTATCATTAAAATCAAATGAAAACAATCTGTGTTCACCCCAAGCTCCACAATCTTATCCAAATATGGTCACGTCTGGCTCCAAAGAACCAAGATGGCGACGGCTATAATGTCAAACTCGAGGCTTTAAAACTGTAGTGACATCAGGGTGGGTCAATTATTCGTTTCATATTCAATATAGATATAGATATATGGGCAATGTTCTGAAATTGATTTTGATATTTAATATGTTGGATTTGTGTGAACAGGAAGACTTCTGTTGAAAAATAAAAATAACCATTATTTTGAAAAATCACATGAAATGATCGAATGTCGGTATCATGCTGTATGGAAGAATCATAAAACTAGAGATTGAGACCATAAACTCATCAGGAAACTGTTTACTGAGCTCACAAATCAATTGAGAAGAGGACTTATTTCTCCAAAAGACTCCATACTATCAGATTTCTTTTTGCAACCGCTGCAGTCGCCCCCTGGTGGCCATTAGAAAGAACGCAGGTTTTCCACATCGGCTTCACTTTTCAGACACGAAAGCTCTGTCCACTTATTATTATACAGTCTGTACAGTCTGCACAGAATGGACGGACAGCAGACAGACGCAGTCTGTCCAGTGAAGGTGGGATTTGTACATTCTTACTTCTTTTTCTCGTCACTGAACACAGAACTGCTGCTGTGCAATCATCCTCTGATTCACTGGGATAAGAGAGCGCTGATTGTTGGAGGATGAGTATCAGAGGAAGTCTGAAGATGTTGGAGTGAAGACAGATGATGTGAAGCGTATCTGCGGCCACATTGGAGCAACTCGAACTCCTCAGACGGAATCGGTCAGGGAAGACCTCACCTTGCACAGGTGTGGAAGGTCATTTAATATCTGAGATCCCCTTCCATCTGATCCTCCTCCTGTATGAAACCTGTACAGCTAACAAAGGACAATGTGTTATTAATCAATAAAGGGAATGTTCAGATTTATAGAAAATATGATTTCTAACCCTGACTGACTCCTAATCTGCTGTATAAACACACAATTGGGCCTTTCTTCATTCTTTGTGTTGCGTTTAAGGTGTGCGTGCGTGCGCGCGTGCGTTCAGGGGCGTGGAGGTGGAGGGGAGTGTTGCATCCTCTCACGTGACCAGCCTCGTCTGTCCTCTCCCTCAGTCCGGATCTCTTTGTTGTGGTTGCAGCTGCTGCTCTCTTTACGCACCGCGCCTCCGCTCCGCCGGACCCTCGAACCGCTTCGTTACCGCGCGGAAAGCAGCACAGCCGGAGCGCCGCGGCCGTCGGTGGGAGCGGCAGTCGGGACGTGGAGGGTCACTACATCCGCCACATATCAGCTGTATCTGAGAAATCTGCCTGAATAGACGCGGGGGCTTCGGTGCGGAGGGAGGACGGATGGCGAGAATGCTGCTTCCTCTCTGGAGCAACCGGACCGCCTCCGAGGCTTCCTGAACGTGAGGAGCTCTCCGCAGATTCCTCCATCTTCACACACAGCCTGCGCTCCCTCCTCTCCAGCCGCCGGAGCTCTGCTGTCAGCGGGGCGCAGCGTGAGGCAGCCGGGCGCTTTGCTTTCGCTTCACCGGGATACATTGTTCGTTTCCACCTGAACCGAGTGGCTTTCTCAGCCGGTGTCTGGAGGTTGGATCATCCCCATCATCATCATGGTGGTGTCAGGCCCCGGGAGCTGTCCCGGCGGGGTCGTCCGGTACCTGCTGTCCGCCTGCCTGCTGTCCCTGCTGCTCTACCTGCCCGAGGCTCGGGCGTCTTACTACCCTCAGAGCGGAGAGTGCAAAGGCAAAGGGAAGGACTGCACAGGTAGGAGGAGTGCTGCTCTGCGCCATGCACCCTGCACACCACAGTAACCTTTATATAACGGATCTGCATGCAGCCGCTGTCTGATGGTCCCATCCGGACTCGGAGGACTTCATAGCGACCTTTGCGTCTCATAAGGTGTCAGTCTAATTATAGTGGCTTTAATATGCGATCAGATGTCTCCTGTCCTCGTTGGCCTGTTTGTGCTCCATCATTAGTTTCCAGCTGACTGAAAGATGACAGCAGTCACTGTCAGTAATCGATATTGTGGCTATAACATGAGTTAATCTCCTGTGTATCAATATCTCTCTGCAGGGAGTTTGTATTGAGTGTACATGTATGAGCAGCATTGTGTCCTGTAGAGGTTTACAAGCATTGGTCCTCAGATAAAGAGAGAAGGGATCAGAAATATTGATGGCTTAGTCAACAATCAATAACCTTTTTTTAACAGTTTTGGTAGACAATGAATCATTTTAAGTTTATTTTGTGAGAGAAATATCTTGTTTTTTTTTTTGTGATAATCTTATAATTCAGTGTCTTTGAATGTCAAGAAATAAATAATAATTAATTATAAATAAAGTAAACATGCTTTATATTATATCTATATATTATATAGATATATTATATACAGTAACACAACAAAGACACAATCATTGTCATTGTGTGTGTGTCTGTAAAGTAATAACAGATTGAACAATAATATGATTACACACACTGTCATACTGCGGTAAACAACAGGGACTGATTGATTCTAATCTAATCAATATTTAATATTTAATAATCTTCCCAGCATTATAAATGTATATTATTGTATAAGTAATTCAACTGATGAACACATTAATGAATCAATAATTATAATATGTATTATTCTGAAATGTGTCATTCTGCACTTTTGATACTAATTCTCACTAATATAACTTTTACTTTGGTATTGTTGCTTTAAGATCTGAGTACTTCAAATATGTTTAATTAAATGCTGCTGTTATATCTTTATGTAATAACTCGTGAACCAATCAGAAAGAGCTGTGAGCAGCAGCTGCATTAGTATTTAAATAAAAAATCAGTAATTGACTGATTCTAGAAAATAATGATCCATATAATAAACAACAACCCCAAAATAATTATTCATCCAGTATTCCTATCAGTCTTATTTTACTGTGCACTTACAGTTTTGGTAACTTTATTAAGCTTTTTTTTTAAATGTTTATAATGAATGTTTTTGGATTATTATTATCTGTATATTAAGATACAGGAATAAGTTACAATACAACAAATACAATAAACAGTTAATAGTTTGGAGACTTTGGGTTCCAGGAAGTTGTGACAGGAGTTTGTGATTACAGTTTAACATTTAAACATTTTTAACAAATGAATTAGAATTATAGTGGATCATCTTGAAAAGTAATTGATAGTTTAGCGCCGGGTGATAAACTTAACACAATATAATGTTTTATTTCAGTCAATGAATTTATATTTACTGACGTAGGTAATCATTGTAAAGGTCCAGTGTGGATTAAGTTGCATCTGATGGTGTAGTTGCTGATTGCAACTCCCTCGCTTTAACCTGCTTATTCCAACCAGAAAGGAGAAACTACAGGGGCGAAAAACATGAACATTCCTATCTAGAGGTTTGGTTTGTCCCTTCTGGGCTACTGTAGAAAGATGGTGGCCTCCGTAGAAGAGGCCCCGTCCCTCTGTGGATAAAAACGTCTCATTATCAGGTAACAAAAACACTACGATTCTTATGTTCAGGTGATTGTACACTAATGAAAACATACCTATAGATATTATATTTCTGACGATAGATCCTCCTCAATGTGACACGCTGGACCTTTAACATTAGAAATGTAAATCTTGTAAAGCTGTATACAAACTGTAGCCAGGATAATGAGAGACAGACATTCTGTAAAATAACTGTGAAAGTTTGTTCATTATCCAGGGTACAAAGTTTTATTTAACAACACCGGGCTGTATAATGAATGCAGGATGTAGTTCCCTTCATGTTACTCATAAAAACAATATATATATATATATATATATCTCCAAACATTATACCAAGGATCAAGGAAATGTAATATATTATTTATATACAGTTATGTTATATACACAGCGACCTGTGTCCATGATGAGTGATATATTGTTTCCAGGCTGTCACTTTAATATTCCTGCATTATATTCTGACAACGCTGTCTGCATCCTGCATTAACATCTAATATTCATAAATTCATTATTGTAGTCTTCCTCTCGTATTAAACATTTAAAAGATAAAAACAGCAGTCATGTAAATGAGTGTTAGCTGTCACTCTGGAGTGTCTGGAATAACCCGCCTCAGTCATGTTTTATTAATGAACCAGTGAACGTCCTCCTCCGGTGCTGCTCACTTTGTTTGCGTTGAGAAATGGAGCGTTTTCCTCACAGACGAGCGCGCTGCGATGCTGATCTCTGCTCTCCGACACTCAACAGCATAATGCAAATATTCTGCAGAGGCAAATGAAAAATGTTCCAAGTCACTAACCAAACCAAACACCTTGATTTTTTAGCACAGAAAGTCTAATTCACACTCCGGCGGCTCCATGCATAGCAATCACCTTGTCGCACCGTACCGAGCCTTGATACCAGATAATTGAGTGCCCTGCTTTCAGAACCGTTGTTGCTCAGAAAACAGAAGAAAGGAAAGCTCTCACAGTCGCAGGAGAAAAAGAACAGAATGGCTTGTGGCACTTTGCTGCGGTGTGCAGGGTTTGAAGGGAAAACACAGTCCTAAAGAAGCATCAAGCATTTATAGCACACCATTATTCACTGGTATTCTGACCGCACTGTCAAACAGCGCGTGGAGAGGATGGCTGTAGTGTTTCTGACGTCAGCTGTGAATTCCTTAGAGAAGTTTGTGTTCACCACGTGCTGCCATCTTTCTCTCCTGCTCAAATATTTGGCACATTCTATATTTTTTGTTTTGTTTTTTGTTTCCGTCTCTTAATACTGTCTGACTTCCTGTCTGCGCCCCATTGGTTCCTACTGAGGACGTGAATCTTTATAAACACAAATATATAGTTTCATGTTTAAAAAAGGTTCAGTTATTTCCTCAAACAGCTGCTCACTGTAATTTTTATCAAACAAGAAGAAATAGAGTGTTTATTTTCAGCAGTGGATGAATCCACATTTGGGGCTCTAGTGAGTATTCGGGGCAGCAGGATGGTGTGTGTGGGATTGAGTTAAAATGCCCTGATCAGCCATAAGATTATGAGCACTGACAGGTGAAGTGAATAACACTGACTATCTGTTTATCAGGGCTCCTGTCAGTGGGTGGGATATATCAGGCAGCAAGTAAACATTTGGTCCTCAAAGTTGATTTGGAAAGGAAAGAAAAATGGGCAGCGTAACGTTGTGATGGACGACTGGGTCAGAGCTTCCCAAACCTGCAGCTCTTGTAGGGGGGTTCCCGGTCTGCAGAGGTCAGTAACTATCAAAAGTAGTTCAAGGAAGGAACAGACAGTAAATGACAGTGTGTGTTCATGGTAATGAAGGAACATGTCACCCAGCACAACAGTGTGGCTCATTGATGTGTTTTTAATATGGATGTCACCAGTAGTGTAGTAGTGCCTGGAGAAGTGGTATACTCTTAATTTATGCCCCCAATTCTTTTTCAGCAAAGGATAAACTCCCTGCTCTGCAGGTAGTATTTGCACATTGTCACTTAACTTTTGCATCTTGACTTCAGGCAGTACGGATCATTATCTAATTAACATTAGCCACAGAAGAGGAGCAGATTTTGCATCAATATTGGCCCACAGGCAGGTGAGATGACTGCATAAAATTATGCATTTTGTGTGAAGTATCCTTACTCCTTACTACATCCACTCATGTCTTTGCCATCCCAGGAAAAAGACACTGCAGAGTGATGCAGAGGGGATTTAGAAGTAGATATACCCAATACCGACTGACTGCGTATACTATGTATACCTGTGTATACCTCGCAGTACACCTCTGGATGTGGTGATGCCAGAAATGTAGTTGATACAGATGCCACAATTCTAGATACCAAAGTAAAAAACAAAAAACAAAACAATAGATCCCATGTACTTCAGTATTACACTTAATTAAAAGCATTTGAACTTTCCAAAAAACAACAGTGGCATGTAGTCCTCAAGTAATACTGAATATAATATAGCTATATATGAACTGATACAGGTTTTATGTGGCTAAAATGAGTTTTTCTGCAAACCCTGTATTCTGCAGTGCTGGCCTCCGTCTGCTGTCAATAATACAATGTCTATGGATAAGAACCTCATACAACCCCACTTCAAAATGTTTAAAATGTCAGTGAGTCGTCCTCAGAGCAGGTCTCTCTGACGATCATTGAACTGTCCCACTCTGGAGACTTTAGTCGGTTGTCAACGTTCTGTCCGGCTCTAATGACGATTGTCGGTAAAACACAGTGAGTAACAATGAGTTCCATCAGTCAGAACCTCTGACATTAACATCAGTTGGTTCGACTGTCCCTCACATGTTTGGGATGTGTACTTTTGTGGTGAACAGAGCTTTTTTTTTGGGACACAAGAATCACTTTCTGGAGGGAACACATGTTCTCTCTCTGTATCTGCAGTTGAGGTTAAGATTTGTTGTTGGACTCGTTACTTTTAAGTTCCCCGCACTGAAATGTCTACAAATGTTTCTTCTCTCTCCTATCGGCCGGTTGGTAACATCCAGCGACTTATATAATGGACGAACCAGCAGAGCTCTGGACCTTGATCTTGACAAAATATGTGATTTCTTCAGTTGAGTCTGGTTCAGCTTGTGTGAAGCAATCTGAAACTGAGTCTGAGGTTGCTCAGTGCTGTATTTGATTGATGTAGATGCATATTACACATCAAGCAGTTGCTGCCTGTCAATCATAGGAGACGTTGCACTTTTTAAGTGTCTCAGGCTGCTTAAATCTGCCCGAAACATCATACATTGGTTTCTGTGATTGCTTTCTATGAACTTCTTGATTTTTGTATATTCTA